GCTGGACTTCTCCAGTCAGGAATCAGCCCAGCCTGGGCGTCTGTCCTTGATGGTTGGAACAACTGAACTGAAAAGAGATTTCATCTCTGCTGTTGCCCTTGCAGAGAAAACCAAAGTAAATGATTCTTACCTTAAACAATTTTCATATCTTTAAGCTTTTAAAAAGTGTTCTGACTTCTTTGGAAGGGCTGTAGGTGGAACATCCCTTTCCTATGGATGGAGGGAAGTAGGACAATGACGTTGGATGCTGCTCGTGGATCACTTTTGGACTTAAGCCGTTTTCTTCCAAACCTTATTAGTTATCTGAGGTAGGTGTAGAGCAGGAGATACTCCTTGTTTCCAGGAAACAGTCCTTGTTTCCAGGTGAGCTGCTTGAGAATGTTTCCTCACCATGCAGAAATCAGGGGATTCATCAGGAGCATGAATGACATCGAATGGTTGGGATGACACAGCCCGGAAAAGCGGCATGGATTGGAAACAGGCAACTGGGAAGTGGGCAAATAAACCATCCTCTGTGGTTCCATGGACCTCCTGCCTCATTATGTGCCTTGTCCTATGGCAGTGGAATGCCCAGCTGGGTTTGGGAGGGGTGGGGTGGATGGAGTGTAGTCTCAGGCCTTGGGTGAGGGAGGGTTGGAGGGGGAGCATGGATAAGGATCCAGCAATGCCATGACTAATTCCTTTTGCAGAGAACACGTGTTGGAGTTGTGCTGTCGAGTAGGAAATGTCAGCTGTGTGTCTGGAGATCAGAGTTGCCTTCTACACCCCAGGAAGGTGTTTACACAAAACAGAAAGTCGCTGCTAACCTGAGATAAGTCGGGTTTTTGTGAGGCTTGTTCATCTCTTTTACACTTTGAACCATCTTCCCACTGTCCTCGCCCTCTCTTTGAATTTTGGGTCTTCCCTGGGTGTGACAGGTACCAAAAAGCACAACGTCAGCAGAGCACCTCGTGTGTTTGGTGCTGGGATTTGTTGGACCTGGAACTGGTTTGCTCTCCTGTGTTTTTCACACCCCAGTTGGGCAAGTGGCAAAGAGCTCAACCTTTTTGCAGCTCAGTGGCATCAGTTTTTGTGCACTAGTGATGTTTGGAGGATCAGGTATTTACTGTCTACCATAACTGGCATTGCAGTGTGTGAGATTATCCTGCACTCAGTCCTTGGGAGCTGGGTATATCCTTTTATTTCTCTTTAATTCAGCTTTTTCTTGTTGTTTTGTTACTTTATTTCCTGTAGGAAAGCAAACTCCAAACATTTTGCCAATTCTGATAAGCAGCCAGAGGTGGGGGCAGTTACTGCACTGTGGAGATTTGCTGTTGTTGGGGTCAGACTCTTTGGGGGTGGGTTTTGTCCCTGGCAGGAGCCTATGATCTTTTTGCTCAACTACTTCAGGCAACAGGGAAGAAAAGCAAGATTTCCTGAAGCAAAAGGCTTTGTGTCTTTGCCCTTCAGCTTTGCTGCTGCAACTAAGCCAGCAAGGGGTTGGAATTGTGATGAGGTGAGATGTGACAGGGAAAAAAAGATATAAATTGCAACTTTTTCACTTATTTTGTGCATGCAGTTTGTTTCCCTGCTGGAATTGTCCTGCCTGTTCCAGGATGAGGGTACCAGTGTGCCAGGGGCTTGGGCAGTGGCACTTGTGGTAGAGCTGGGCTGTGTCCTCCAATAAAATACGGTGTTGGAGGAGGGGAGAGGAATTTTCCCATTCATGTTGCAGCAACCTGTGAGATTTTCCCCTGTTTTCTCAGGCTCTGTGTCCCGGTGCCCCTGATGGACACGATCCACTGGCAAAGCCCTGTGGAAGTGTGTGTGTGTGTGTGTATTGTTTTAAGGCATTTCCTCTTTATTTTTATATATTTTCTCTTTGTTATATTCATTGCCTCTCTTTAAACCATTGCCTCTCTTTATTTTGCCCCTCTCTGTATTTTATATTTATTTTTATTCCGTTTCTTATGAGGAAGAAAGGTTTACCAATAAAGTCTGGAGCTGTAATAAACCCACCAGGCTTTAGTGCTGCTTTTTCAGGGATGGATTTTGTAGTGAACATTGCAAACACAATTGTTCTTGTCTCCTCTGTCAGGAATGTGCCAGAGTGGGGAAGATGAGGGGAATTTTGTTTGTTTTGGTCTGGGAATCAGGACCCTGCTTTCTGTAGGCTCATTTCTAACCTGCCTTTACCTTAAAAATGGAAAACATCCAACCTGTAGCAGGAGCTTCGCCGTTGGCTCAATTATTTCTTAATCCTCTGTGTTTTTTTGCAAGCTGGGCCTTTGAGTTTATCACAAAACAAGAACACAGTGAAGCTCTGAGAGGTTCTGGCTGCTCAGGAAGTGACTTTTAATGGTGGTAGCATTAAACCCTTCAGCTGTAACTCCTCACTCTGTTGAAGAAATGTTTGTAAAGCGTTATAAATAGTGGTTTTTTTCCCCATGTTTCAAATCTATTTGTTTCACTTTCAGCTGTCAACACTTCAGCCTGTAATGAAATGCCTTATTCTTGTAAGAAATCTCAATTTCTTAAGATACCTCGTCTGTTCTCGTTAGTAGCTCAGTGACAGTCCTGCAGTTAAAAGTGTGAAGAAAGTTCTCAGGGTATTCAGGCTTAAAAAAATGAATTCCTGGTACGTCCAGAGGGTTTGTGGAAGTCTGCAAGGAAGGCTTATCTAGGATTTGCAGCCAGGTTCCTGAGCTCTGGTGCTGTGGTTCAGCAGAGCAGAACCGTGGCAGGTTTGAGTTCAGTCTGCTTGGGTGCAAACCTCATTAAATACATGAATCATCTAATTTAGGGCTTTGAAATGACATGGTTTCAGTGTGGGGAAATCCTACAAGGAGATCTACGACGTCTCTTGCAGGTGCTGGAGGTCTGATGGATGGGAGTTTTGGGATGGTTTTGCTAAAACTAAGGATACCACACTTTCTAATTGGCACTTCAGGTTTAAGAATTAATGTGAAAAAAATTAATGTATTTGACTGCTTTGCACAGTCTGAAGGACTAGAGAGGACGGGAGTGTTTGGACTTGATTTCAGAGACTGCAAATGCAAGTTCTGGTTGGGTTCTTTGGCCTTCAGTGGCTGGGGAATTGCAGAAGCCTCATGTGCTGGACTGGTTTAGTCCCAGTGATACCCATCAAGTATTACTTTAAGTTTGATCTTTTGGGATTGACTAAAAAATACTCAGGGTGTGAGTAATGGTTTTGTAAAGGGCATTTACTGGTTCTGTACAGAGTGCCACTTGTGGCAATGGATTCCAGGCATTTCACTGCCTTGGGATCTCTTGGGAATCCCAAATTCTGCAGGATTCTGATGATGAACAAGACACTGTCAAGCCCTAAGATGAATTTTTCAATCGATTTTTTCAATCAAACCCAGGTTCAGAGGTTGATTTGGCTCGGTGTGCCCAGCAGGGCAGCACTGGGTGCTCACGGGGCATTTGGGGTTTCGCTGCCTTGCAAAGGGTTTTTCTCACTTCCCGAAGAAGTGAAACCCTTGACAAGTCCTACCAGTTTGATTCATACTGGGAGGCAGCAAATGACTGTGTAAATGAAGATGTTAATTAATAGAAGGCAAAGCCCAGCTCCCCCATCCCAGCCAGGACACGCAGCTCCAATGGGAGAAGGAAGGAAAGGGAATGGGAAGATGTTCCCCAGAACTAATCCCTGTGTGGATTAGTTCTGCATGGCAGAAAGGGAGGGAAGGAGTGGGAAGGGAAGTTTTCCAGAGTTAAGGACTGGCACAGCTCGGATGTTGTCAGTGTATAACTTGTTTTACATCCAGCTAGAGGAATCAAAACTTTTCAACATTATTAGATGCTTGAAGGACAGGGCTTGAGAAACAATTACATTTATTGTAAATGTAATTATTTACAATAATTATTTACAATAATTGCATTTACAGGGATTAAGAAACAGTTACATTTACAGCTTTATTTTTTACTGGCAACTTGTCCTTTTCTCAGTGTTTTTTTTCCCCCCAGCGTTGCTGTCCTTCAGTAATGGAAATCCCTTGAAAAACTGCTCTTTAAAATAGATATATCTTGTAAGCAAGTCCTGCTTTGCATTGTACTGGAGATAATCAGTGGGGCCAGAGTGGAGGTGTTGACTTTTTAACATTATAGGTGCTTGAAGGACAGTGATTACAGATTTATTTGTTACTGGCAACTTGTCCTTTTCTCAGAGCTTTTCCCCCCAGCATTGCTGTCCTTCAGGAATGGAAATCCCTTGAAAAATTGCTGTTTAAAATAGATATATGTATAAGCAAGTCCTGCTTTGCATTGTCCTGGAGATAATCAGTGGAGGTCTTGACTTTTTTAATATGAAGGACTTTTAACTTGAAGGACAGCGATTAAGAAATAATTACATTTACAGCTTTATTTTTTACTGGCAACTTATCCTTTTCTCAGTGGTTTTTTTTCCCCCCCCAGCATTGCTGTCCTTCAGGAATGGAAATCCCTTGAAAAATTGCTGTATAAAATAGATATATATGTGTAAGCAAGTCCTGCTTTGCATTGTGCTGGAGATAATCGGGGGGGCAGAGCAGTGGCACTGTCTGATAGAGCAGCTGGGTGGGCACTTGGTGTCCAGCCAAGGCCAACCCACCACAATGCCCTACCTGTTCTGATAACAGTTGTTCCTGCTTGGGCAGTTGGAAGTTTAAAGTCAGTTGTAAAGACTGACCGAGTTCAGTTTTTTAGGAATTGTTGGCATGCTTCCCCTGGGAACCAGCTGGGATGTGACAGGGTTTATATGGGAAAAGCACTCGGTTGGTTTGCTGCAGGTGGGTTTTCTTGTGAGCTTTGAGGCCGTGCCAGGCACAGGGTTTGCTGGTGGAGCCGCCGAAAGGGCTGAAATGATAAAGCAGAAATTCGGAGTTTCTTCGAATGATGTGGTGAAAGAGGTGACACAACAAAGTTAAAAACTTTGTGCCTGGTGGGCTGACCCCCCTTTGTGCTGTTGCTGTGTGAGATGCTGTCACCCCAACGTGACTTTCTGTGTTGTTCCCTTGAAGCAAATGGTTATGAGCCTTCGAGTTTCGGAACTTCAGGTGCTGCTGGGCTACGCGGGGAGGAACAAGCACGGCCGCAAACACGAACTGCTCACGAAAGCCCTGCACCTGCTCAAGGCCGGCTGCAGCCCCGCCGTGCAGATGAAAATCAAAGAACTCTACCGGAGGAGGTTCCCCCAGAAAATCATGACCCCCGCAGACCTGTCCATCCCCAGCGTGCACTCGAGCTCCATGCCGGCCACGCTGTCTCCATCCACCATTCCACAGCTCGGCTACGACGGCCACCCCGCCACGTCCCCGCTGCTCCCCGTGTCCCTGCTGGGCCCCAAACACGAACTGGAACTGCCCCACCTCACCTCGGCCCTGCACCCCGTGCACCCCGACATCAAACTGCAGAAACTGCCCTTCTACGACCTGCTGGACGAGCTGATCAAACCCACCAGCCTCGGTAAGGACACGGCGAGGTAGCGCTGGGATGGCACAGAGAGATACACACCCCTGGGTGTTTGTGCATGGGATAGATTAATATTGTGTATATTGAATGTGTATGGTATATGATATCATATTACACTTACATATACATTACAGATGTTATACAGATGATATTTTATATATATATCATATTATATAGATGTATTATAATAGTCTATCTACTATATATTACATATTATATGTAATATATAATAGTTATATTATAAAATGTGGTCTATATAATATCATATAATAGTCTATTGAATATATTCTATAGGATATTATATAGACTGTATTTTATATTATATATAATATGTATTATAATATATAATATCCTATAGGATAAGATGTTATATATCTACAGGATATATCAATAGGAGCTATAAGTAAATCCTATTGAATATATTCTATAGGATATTATGTAGACTGTATTTTATATTATATATATTATATAGACTTTTATATTATATTATATATAATATGTATTATATAATATCCTATAGAATAGGATATTATATATATATCTATAGGATATATCAGTAGGATCTATAATTAGATCCTATTAAATATATTCTATAGGAGATTATATAGGCTGTATTTTATATTATATACATTATATAGACTGTATTTTATACTATATATATAATATGTATTATAATATATAATATCCTATAGATTAGGATATTATATATCTATAGGATATATCAATAGGATCTATAATTAGATCCTATTGAATATATTCTATAGGAGATTCTATAGACTATTTTATATTATATATTATATATATAATATTATATGTATTATAATATATAATATCCTATAGAATATATTCAATAGACTACTATAGGATATTATATAGACTATATTTTATATAATATATATTATATGTAATATTTAATATGTATTATAATATATATTAAGCTATTATAGGATATTATATAGACTATTATATATTATAATATTATATATAATATATGTAATTATATATATTTTTAAAGTATTGAAGTATATATACTTTTTCAAGTTTTGAAGTATGTATATAAGTATATATTTAAGTTTTGAAGTATATATATGTACTTTTTTCACGTTTTGAAGTATATATATACATACTTTTTTTAAAATATAACCAGCCTAGGTAAGAAAACATCGCAAGAACACTTAAATATATACATTTTTAAAGTTTTGAAGTATATATATATTTTTTTTAAGCTTTGAAGCTTATATATATAATTTTTTTTAAGTTTCAAAGTATGCATATATCTTTTTTGAAGTACAATGGACCAATTGGCCTGCTAATGCAGTAAGTGGTTAAATATTGCATCACAGCAGTGTTTAGAGAATTGCTATTTTTGGTAACTTTTGGAACAGATTGTTCTACATGGAGAGACATCTTACGTAACACTCATTAGTTGCTTTAGCTGAGCCACTAAATATGCTTTAAACATCCGTTATATTTGAGGGGGGAGTTGGACAAAAAACAAACTAAACCTTAAAAAAAGGAAAAAAACCAGTCTGCTTTCAGGAGCTCTTGCAAACCATAGACTTCAATTATTAATAAAAAAAAACAAACCCAAACTAAACAAAACTCCCCCCAAATCCATCAAGCCTAGAAAACCTCATCCGTGCTGGGAAAGAATTCCAGGCTGGATCCATTAGAGCCTGAACACTGTGAATTTGGGGAGACTCGTGGTTCTTTTGCTACGAGTTGTGGCTCCTTTTCCTGCAGCAGATTTTTGTATTAAGGTATCAGTCACTTGAGAAGAATCTGATGCTCCCAGAGCTTTATATAAGGATGTGGGATTTTTTTTCTGGCTCTCCCTGTAGCACTTTCCAGGGTGGGATTGCTTAAATACACCGGTGCTGCTGATTTTCTGGAGGGTTTCTGCTCGTGTGGTGGAACCTTGTGCTGTCTGAAAGCTCGGAGAAAACACTCCCTGCTGGGAGGAGGAGGAGGAGGAGATTGGTGAGAGGAGATACGGGGAGGTGGTGGGTGAGTGAGGGAAAAAAAAAAAGAAAAAAAGCCCTTTGCAAAAGAAATCCCTCGTAAACAAAAGCCAGCAGGTGCTTCCCAGTGCCAGCCTGTGGAGCCCTGGGGGTGTGGGAGGCCTAGGATGAGCAGGGATGGTGCCTCTGGAATTCTGAGGGATCCTCCACAGCCCTCTGCATGTTTGGTTGTAACTGAGACACTGAGAGTAAACCAGATGGTTTTGGGTAATCTATCAGTAAGACAAGAGGGCTCGGTCTTCAGCTGTGCCAGGGGAGGTTTAGGTTGGATATTAGGAAGAATTTCTTTCCAGAGAGGGTGCTCAGCCATTGGAATGGGCTGCCCAGGGAAGTGGTGGATTCTCCATCCCTGGAGGTTTTTAGGATAAGACTGGATGTGGCATCAGTGCCATGGGCTGGGAACCACGGCAGGGTTGGATCAAGGGTTGGACTTGATGATCTGGGAGGTCCCTTCCAACCCAGCTGATTCTATGATTCATCTTCTGGTTCAGGTATTCTTTTCAGAGGTGTTCTGTGTCTGTTTAACTTTAATCTAAAGCCTAATTGATTAATAAGCATTCCAGGCAACGCTGGTGGTACGAGATAATTACGTGCTCAGTATGTGCCCTCATCACTTTTAAATTATAAATACTTAAAAATAATGCTCTAATTTCCAGAAGACATTCCAATGCAGGAATTATGGAGTGCGTTTGTTCCTAGATGTGGTAAGAGCACTTTGCTGTCAGCTCTGTGTCAGACAAGGCAGCCCCAAATGGAGGGATCAGGATTCAAGCTCTGCCATATCTCATTGCCTCAGGAGTTGATACACAGTGGGATGTTCTCCCCCTTTTGTGGACTCTGTCAGGGTAAGAAGATGGAAGTGGCTGGAATTCCAAGCAGGTACCTTTGTAAGGAGTTTCTGTCCCTTCTGTTAACTTAAAGGGTACCTTTGGGGTTTTTATGGGAGTTCTGGCTGCAGGTGTCTTTGTTTTTCCGAAGTAATACTGTTAAAAAGCTTTTTTTCTTATGCATTTGGGGGAAGAGGGACCTTCAGTGTCTGTGCATATATGGAATGGTTTGGGTTGGAAGGGAACTTAGAGACATCCAGTCCCACCCCCTGCCATGGGCAGGGACACCTCCCACTCTCCCAGGTTGCTCCAACCTGGCCTTGGACACTTCCAGGGGTGAGGCAGCCACAGCTTCTCTGGGCAACCTGTGCCAGGGCCTCCCCACTCTGCTCAGCAGGCTTGGATAAATTTTCTCCATTTATACAGTTACTGATACTTTTACAAAGTCTTAAATTATTCATTGAATATTTGCCCCAAATGGTTTGGGGATCCTTCTCACTGCTGCCAACAATGTGGGTTTGCTCAGATGTCCAGCTTGTGGGTCCCCTGGTGTGTTTTCCGATGGCAGATCCATTCTGCAAGCACTCAGAACTTCTCCCTGGCGTTCAGCCAGTGTTTCAGCATCTCCTCCTGGCTTTTTCCCATCAGATTACTCATGGGACAGGGATAAGGAACTTTTGAATTGGCTGTTTACCTCCCCCACAAGCAGGAACTGTTGACCCCATGTGGGGTTTTGAATAAACCTTGAAATCTGTGTGCTTAAAATGGAACCTACTGGAAGGGGAAAAAAAAACGTGTGAGGAAGAGAAAGAATTCGTGTGATTTGAGGATATTTACATCCTTCTGAAATGCCAGTCACTACATAAAACTGGGCAAAGCACATCTTTGGATGGCATTGTCCCTGGTCTTTCCCAGATCAACAGCTGGGAAGCTTTGCTGCAGTAGTCCTGTGTCCCGTGGAGGAGTGATTATTAATTTGAAAAGCAATAATTTGGTGAAGCCTCAAGGCAGGGAGTTGCTCAGCAGGGCACTTGAACATGCATTCTGTACCCAAATACTTTAGGTAGGTGGGTAGTACACAACTAATGTGAATAACAGATAAGGAAATTAAATGTGCTAACTCTTATTTTGAATGCTGAGAACAAAGGGAGGAAATAGATGTTGCCTTCTCACACTTGCTTCCTCAAAATGTAGCTCTGGACTGGGATTAAAGTGGATGTGCTGGAATTTATGGCATTGGGGAATGCAGGGATTTGTCCACCTGTACCCTTCTCACCAGGATCTTTACTTGAGCATGTCTGGCTGAATCCCAGAGTCATTTAGGTTGGGAAAGATCTCTGAGATCATCGAGTCCCCACCTTGTCCCCCAGCCCAGAGCACTGAGTGCCACGGCCAGTCCTTCCTTGGGCATTGTTGACGTGAGACAAAGAGAGATTTGTTCATTTTCTGTGGAGCTGTTGAATTTGATCCACGTTTTATTAGTCATCCTCAGTGCCAAATTGAGAAAGCATCTCGAGTGGATGGGTTTGTGTCCAAGCCAACTGGGAAAAACTCTGTGTGCTGGGAAGGGCTGCTGGGGGGGGGTGGTGTACCCATCATGAGCACTCTGCCCATGGTTAACCAGGATTTGAAGTGACTCTAAGGCTTTGTCATTTTGCAGGAAGAGCTGTCCAGTTAGGCCTTGATGGAATGTGTGAAAATTGCCTTGTTGTTGTGATTCTTGGTTGTTTTTCTGATAGGAACTCCTTTAAAGGGGCGAATTTTGGTTGTTGGTTTCTCAAGTGAAGCTGCAGCTTTCACTTATTTTTCCCCCTGTTTCCAGCCACCCCCCACCCCTCTGCAGAGACTCTGCTAATTGGTTGTTTTTTAAGCATTTTCTAAAAGTAACTCCCAAGAGATAAGATCTCTTTTGTGTGGTGAAATGTGTTTGCTGTGAGATGAGTAACGAGGACCAGAATTTGCCAGATTATTATGGGAAGGACATGAGATAGTTAAACAACATCTTAAAAATGCCTCCTCTTCCAGCAAATGTCATTCCTAATTGCTTTAGCTGTGTGGTTGTTCCAAAAAACATTTTAACTGGCTTAGGGGTCTTTACTTACCTGTAAGGAGAAATTACCCTTTTCTTTTCAATTTAAAGGATTAA